TGGCTGAAATTGTAAGGCACGATCATTGGAAAAATATTTAGACACATGCATCTATTTGTAGTCACAAAAGTTGTCCTTCGTTGCCACTTTTTTTCTTTTAAATCCCTTATGCACTGTTTCCTTTCTGTCCTTATATTGTTACTTTGTGATTCTCATAAATCTTGTATTGATAGGTAATGGTTTTCCTTCAGTATTATTAGGCTTGATTGATAATTCTCATGCTTTACAATTTGTCTGATGGCTTGAAAAAGTGCTACTGCCTGACATAGCTCATGACTAAAATGCATGCAATTACAATGTCTCCACTTAAATTGTTTATTTTCTGAAAACATGCTACACTTTTTTCCAATTTATTTATCTGTTTGTGGTGTATTACACCTGTTGCAACCCATTTAATGTGAAATAATGGGTTAGACTAAGATATTTTAGAAGTTAACTTGTGATTAGTAAAATGTTGTAACAAATAGGTTAACAATCTTTTGTATTATTATGAGTTCACCAATATTTTCATGGACCAAGGAAAGAAGAAACCTAGAACACTTCAAGAGTAATTACCAAAGGATTAAATTTGTATTGTTTAGTTTCTTCTTTGTCTGGTGTAAATATTTATGGCAGCATGTTTATATTCTACTTTCTATTTTAAGTTGCCTATTGAAACTATTTTTGTTTTTCAGACAAGAAGATGCTCAGGAGTTCCCTTAGCTTCATTATGGATCAGATGCATGATGAATTACTTAAGCTTGAAGGACAGCCCTCAAGTATTAATGGCCCCAAATCATCTCTAGTATCTTCTGCAGAATTAACCTATATTTTTGGAGGACAATTGATCTTGATCTTGGTTTTTCTTTTTTTCCTGCAGAGGAAAGACGAACTTTTTTTAAAGAAGGGTGGGTGACTATCAAAGAGCATTATGTCAGGCTTCCAAAGATGGTGGAAAGAATTTCATCTTCAAAATGGACGCAGACATTATAGTCATCAATTTGTACTGAAATGCTGGATTTGGAATCAAAATTTTGTTACTCTTCTTTGAGCCAGCAATTTGTATATTGTATTTCAAGGGATATCTATAATGCCATAGTCTGACTGAAGTTGTATTAATTTATGCCGAGCCGTCCTTAGCTTGGGGTGGCTATCATTATCAGTATAGAATTTTATAAGGGGAAATGTATGATATAATCACTTTCTGTTTCTTTTTGCAGTTTTATCTTGACAATTTCTGTTTCTTTCCCCTTCTTTTTTCAAATTGCACAAGAAAAAGAAAAGCCCCCAGCTTGTTTATTGTATTTTTATTGCTCATCTATTGTCACTGTATTGCTCATTTATTGCTACCGTATTGTTTTTGTATTGCATGTCTGTTACCACTTCATAATTTATGTGCCATTACTTTCGTATTGCTTTTGTATTGCTTTTTGGTTGGTTTTCTTAATTAATATAATTTCTTGAAGGGGAAGCAACTATGAGTTTGATTTATAAAAAGGAGGTGACGTCATAAATGGAATCACATTCTTACAATAATAAATAATAAATAATAAATAAATAAGCAATAATGGAATCACATTCTTACACCAATAGCTGAACATGAATCAATCATATTGAAGAGATGCATATACGGTGCTTCTTGT